TGAGAGGCTACGGGACCTGAACCTGTTCAGCCTTCACAAGAGAAGGCTGAGGGGGGACCTTGTGACCATTTATAAACTCACTAGGGGGGACCAGAAGGTTTTGGGGGAGACCTTGTTTCCCCTAGCGCCCCCTGGGATAACAAGGAATAACAGCCACAAGTTGTTGGAGAGTAGGTTTAGATTAGACATCCGTGGGAACTACTTCAGTTAGGGCGGCTAGGATCTGGAACCAACTTCCAAGGGAAGTGGTGCTGGCTCCTACCCTGGGGGTCTTTAAGAAGCAGCTCGATGCCTACCTGGCTGGGGTCATTTGAGCCCAGTTTTCCTCCTGCCCAGGCAGGGGGTCGGACTTGAAGAGCTACAAGGTCCCTTCCGACCCTACTTCTATGATTCTATGATTCTATGAATTGGATCCCAATCCAGATAATAAATCAGTTATTGTTTATGCTGGAAAAGGTTGTCTGTGTGTTCGAACTCAATGTGCAAACATAATTGCTAATGATTGATATAATTATACTATGGATTAGGGTGCAAACCAATGCTTTTGTAATGTATTAAAGCTTGAAGGCTGTGATTTTACTTATAATATTCCTGCATATATTAGTCAAGTGCTTAAAGCTGATTTTGTTTTGTATGAATATGTCAAACCCTTACACATAGGAGTAAATATAACTTTAGTAAGCAAATGTTGCAACATCCAGATTTGCAAGTTTGATTGTAAGAAGCAAAAGATAGGGCACAAGCAGCTCTTTTGTCACAGTCCACCATGATGTGGACCAAATAACTCAGGTTTTGGACCGTGTTAAATAAGCAGCATATCATACCTTTTGGGACTCAATCTGGGGATGACCTCTAAAAGCTACAGGAATTTTGAATACAATGATGCATTCACTTGTTTTAGTGGGCTTTGTTATCATTGGAATGTTAATCCAAATGCGCTGATTGGCATGAATCATCTGAAAATGAATTCAAGAGGAGGAGATTTGTAAGCACCTTTCACGCCCCCATCCACATTAAAAGTCTCTAATGTGCCTGGCAGAAGATCTAACCCTCGGAATTGGTGGCCCCAACTGCCTTCAGTATAATAGCCAGGACAAAAAGAGTAAGTGGTAACAATGGAAAAGGTTTCCAAAAGCTACCAAGAAGGGGAGTGTTGCAAAGAAAATTAAATTTGGTCATGTCAGGTTGACCGAACTCCAAGAAGCCTTTTCGAGATGATTTAGAATTGGTAATGATTGTGGCCTGAACCTAACCCCAGTAAAATGCTGACTGCACGTTTAGTACAGAACAATAGAACTATATCATGATGACCGCTGGGACTAATTAAATGTAAGAACAGGATAATAACCGGAAACATAATAAGAAAATATTCCGAGTGTGTAAGGATATGCTATTGTCTAACTTAGAATTTATCAGTTAAAATATTATAATCTGCTTAATGATGATGATGTCACTAAAGGGTTAAAAAGCCTAAGCAAGTGAAGTCAATGTTCGCTGTATGGATTTCTGAGGGAGAGGTCTCCATGGATTTCTAAGAAGATCAAGTCTTTAGATGGGAGCAGCACAACCCAGGAAGCTTTCCTGGGGCGGTCAGCTGTGGGAAGTAACTCCTGCATAACAGCTCTAGACACTGTGAAGCGGTGAAGAGTCACATTAACGCTTTCAGTCTTTGGTAACTAACTGTCTGCTTATATTCTGGCGGTCCCAGTTAATGAATTGCTTTGTGCATAGTAGATGTTTTGTAGTCAATAAAGCTTCTGACTGTTAGTCAGACGAGTGCCAATGGTTAATCAGAATTCTCCTTGCCCACAGAGAAGTAGGGCTTGAATGAGTTTTAGCCCAACAGTAGCAATGTCTAAACCGCTTACTTACTAGTCAGACTTCCAAGGAACTAATGAAGTGGGGTTAAACCATCGGTTCAATCACTTGCAACTGTGGCACAGAGCCTCAAACCATGCAACATCTGCTGCAATGCCCACTGCTCAATGGCACCAAAACAATGAAAGATCTTGAAAGTACAATAAACGAGCACAAGTGTGTGGAACAAAACGGTCAAATGTGGTAGGGAGACACAAGATAACAAGGACTTTGCAGGTGCAACTGGTCTAAATCTTTAGTAATTCACCAGTTGTATGGTAATTACTCTGCATACATGGCCGAGGGGATACCAGCCCAGGAAACAGCATAGACTTCAAGGAATATAAAAAGCCCCAAAAGACCTGTTTGCAAAACACATATTGGTTGCAAATCTTGCAAGAGGTGAAGGAATGCTTTTCAGTTACAGCATTTCCATGTCTCAAGGATGCAAAGAAAACTTATGGTGGGGGGAGCACTTGAATTTTCAGGTTGCAAAGCTCCAAAACTGGCACTGATTGCAACCCAGCTGGACAGCCCGGTTGAGGAAAAGATAGAGGGGAGAAAATAGGGCCCAGAAAGCAAGGTGTGGAACTCGGGGGGCGGGGGGGGGGGGGGGTAGG